TGCAAGTGAACATGCTTGTATGCATGCCCTTCATGGGTCTGCCTTGTGCTTTCCTGACAGACGCAGTAACAGTTTTACCAGTGCCATATGCAAGGGTCATACCACCCTTCTTGTTCCCACTGTTTTCCTGTTATTAGCTCTTTTAAGTAGAAAATTACATTAGATAGACAGAGTCTTTTGGTTTGAGTTGATGTCTTTTATCAACTTGGAGGTGGGTTGATGTTTCTAGCAAGCTTTTGGATAACACAGTATCCTTTTTCAAGCTAAATGGAGTGCAGAATAGGGTGACTCCCCTGTGTATACCAGAGAGCCCGTCAGTACTCTAGGCAAGTGGATATAGTAGTTGAACTGCTCTGATACCAATCATACATTCTGCATGGGGGTGAGGGGGGAAGGATTTTGTTTTTTGTGGGTTATGATATGGGTACTTGGTATGGTTGGGGTTTAGGCAGACTGTAGTGAAGATAGCTCATTTCTCTGTTCAGTCCATGATTTTTTATGTCCAGAGTGGTGATGAAGTTGAGTTCATTGGGCACATCTTTTGAAGGTGTTTTGTAGATTTCCTTTGAGGATAAAGACTGAAAGATCTGACAAAGTGGTCATTTGGGGAGAAATGTGCCCCTACAGGCAATTGTGGGTTTCTGGCTTTGATGGATTTCCTGTGTGCGTTCATCAGTGACCACAGTCTATGCATATCTACTTGCATAGACTACTGACGGATTCCTAAGTATACATTGGGGAGTCACCCCCCTTCTGCACTTCACTAGCTTGAAAAAGCATACTGTGTTATCTGAAAGCTTGCTAGAACCATCAACCCACCTCAAAGTTGGTCTAATAAAAGATATCTTGCTGGGATCCTTTGACCCTAGCTGACTTCCTGCCCCTGGGGCAGGGGGCTGGACTTGATGATCTTTGAGGTCCCTTCCAGCCCTAACGTCTATGAAATCTATGAAACATGAACCAAAAGACTGTCTATCATATGGCCTCAGACCTATACAGCTCACCCCGAAAGAAAATTACATTAACCATTCATATTCAGTTTGCAATCTCCAATGACCCTTGAATCATTTTCAAGTCAGCAGTTCCTATGATACAGCCCCCCTTTCTGTAAGCATGGCTTCAATTCTTTGCTCCTAGATATATAACCTTACTATTGACTATACTGAATTGATTAAGTGAAATTAAGCAAAATTCTGTAGTAAAGACTGATCCAAACAAACCAGTTCTTTCACAGCTTGGATCTTTCAAGTAATTGATAATCAGATGTCATTTAAAATCTTGTAGGTGCAATTATTTTTTCAAGTGAACGTATTTTTCTTCTTGCAGATGATGCTGGTTCAATGAAAATATTTGGAAAGCCTAAACATTTTGATTTGAGTCCATTAAAATAATTTTGGGCAATTAGAAAATTTTAGGCCAATCTATGTGATTCCTTGAGGATGTTAAAAATATCAGCAACAATTTACTGCTACTGCATTGATGCAAATTGGCACAACACTGTTTTGAAGCTTGCTAGCTCCAGAACGTAATGAAATAGCCTGAAATGCCTTGAAATGAGAAAAGAAATATAATTTGTTTCACTCCTATTTGTGATTTTCTCAACTTCGTTGCCTGACTCACCTTAGGAAACTTTAAAAATAGTTTTAAGAAATAGGAAAGAGTTAATTTGTCATGATTGATATTATAAACTCTCAGCTAGAATGGAAAATCAGCTTGAAAGGAAATAATAGTGAGGGTGCTGCAGAGATATTTGGCTCAAAAATAGCTTCTGCAATACAAAATATAAATTGCACATACAAACAAAAATCTGTGATTGCATGAGTCTCAAAATACTGTACCATGAATATGTGTAACAAAGAAATGCAAAGCCTTCCTAGGTTTGTTTTAGCTTTTTAGAGAGGAGGCAAAACTTTATAACTTAACCATAACTCTATGCAAACAGACATTATCTGCTGAAGAGCAGTCTGTCTTGTTTTATTAAGGCGACATGCCTATTTCTTAGCTGTTTGTACAAAACGCGTCTTGTACACGTGCTTTGCAGGCTATTTGAAAAAGGGGAACAACAAAATTGTTGCAAAAGCAAAGTGTGAATGAAAAAAACATAACAATGAATGAAGATGAGGAAAAGATTGTCCTGCAGCAAGATGCTTATAAGCAGTTCAGCCGTGGTGAAAAAGGTGATCCTGTTGAGATTGGGTTACAATGTGTAAGAAACTTTATGGATAGCAAATACCAGGTAATAAAGGGTTTTGTAATCTAACACAGAAAGGCATAGCAAGAAATAGTTGGAAATTAAAGCCAGGCAAGACTCAAATTTGAAATAAGGTACAGACGTATTTGTTCTCGATGTGAGGGCAATTAACAATTGGAATTAATTACCCGTGCAAGGGGTGGATTCCCCATCTCATGACATCATTGAAACAAGACCAGATGACTTCTTGGGAGAGGTACTTTCCTAAGAATATTAATTATTGAGCACAATAGAAGAGTAATGAACTTCCTCTAAACAGTCCATAGAATTTCATTAGACCAGTGTTTCTTCACCGGTGGGTTATATGATTTCCTAATGGTCACAAAAGGCAATTGGGGGTTGGAAGATGCTGAAAGTTTTATTACAATTTTAAAATAAAGAAAATATCCATGAAAACTTTAAGGGGCTACAAAGCTACGTGCAAGCATAGCAGTTGCAGTAGTAGGTACTTTGCCCTTTTCAGCTACATATCCATGAACAGGGGCATGCAATTTCTGTGGGGAATAAAGCAGTGGCACACATTTGAGCAGCTGCTTTTTGCTCTGGCTCATGCCCCTGCACGTGGGGTTAGTGTGGAGAAAAATCTCCGGCTGGGGTAGAGAAGGCAGGGGCCTGGGAGCCTCCCAGGGCTCAAGCAGTGGCAATGTGGATGTGCAGACCCTAGTCTACAGCCAGAAAATAGCTTTGACCAGCTATTTTGGCCACAGTTTTGTGCTGTGCATGCTGCTGCCAAGTACACTGCCCCACTTTTTTCCCCCCCCATGTGTTTTTTTAATTTTCCAGTATCTAAATTAGGATCCACGCTGCAAATATGCAGCATGGAGAACCAAATCACATGCATGGAGTGCGTTTTGCAGCATCTCAAAAGCCTTTGAGGCACCACAAAAATGCATGTGCATGCATATGTGGATGCAGCCTTCTTGTCCAAGTAACCCTCTCCGATTTGTTTCTTCAAGCCCTGTATAGCTTTAAATTTCTCTGTAAGGCTCTCAAAACACATGTCTGCAAATAAATTATACAGGCCTAGCCTTGGTAGCATTGATACTTGATAGTAAAATATAGGGGACTGGAAACACTCTACTTCAAGTACCTCAAGAGGTGTCAACTTGAAAAGATGGAGAAATACCGAAGTGATCCGCTGGTTCTTTTGATTTCAAAGGGTGGATAGATGAGTATAATGCTAACCTGTGCACTGATTAAGCTGTGTAACAGGAAATCCTGATTAGCAGAGAAAGATATTGAAAAGGCCCTGCTTCAAAAAGTTACTTGAGCATGTACCTCATTTTGAGCATGTGAATATGATTAAAAGGTTTTGATGACAAAAAAGAAAGAAAAAAAGATCTCTCTTTGTAGACGTTATTGATGTTGGAAAAAAATAACATTTTTTCTTTAACTATAAGGTCTTACTGAAAAATTTCAGTGAGCTTTAATAACTTACTATTAAAATGTTGTAGAGTTTTACCCCAATAAGTTAATACTGCAGGAATGAGAAGAAAAAATGAACTTGTAGTTAAAGCACTGGACAAGAAAATGAGGTACAGTTCCCAGTTCTTCTGCAGATTTTCTGTGTAGCTTTGGTAAGTTATTCAAAATTTCTTTGTTCTTCAAACTCGCTCCATGAGTAAAATAAAGACAGTAAGATTTCCTTTTTCTCACCCTTTGTCTTATTAGATAGTAAGAATTTTGGCAGAGGAACTCTCTCTCACTGTGTATTTGTAACTAATACAATGGGGCCCAGATCTCAAATGGGGTCTGCATGAGTTTCTGTAAAATAAATAACTGTACTAAATATTAGTTATGGAATACTAATAATATACAGTGGATTACTGTTAATTCCTACAAAAAATTACCCTCTCCCACCTGTTCTCTGGAAAGACTTGGTTGCAGAGGCTGTATTAAATCCCAATCTAATTCCCAAGGAAGTGTTTTAAATGCCATCAGTGGGAATTGAAATGAGTCTTTATATTACTTGAAATAGAAAGAAACCTGTGGAGCCCATGAGAATTCTTGTGGCAGAAGACACCACAGGCTCTCTTTCTGCTCTTTTCCTATTTTCATTGATACCTACCTTTCATAAGCACAGAGGAAAACTTCCTAATAGTCTCAAAATAACTGTTTCTGAGCACAGATGATTTGTTTTAATGTGTATTACACAGAGATAATCCTTAAAGAAAATAGCTTTTTAAAATCAACAGCTTAAAAAAGTACATAATCCCAGTAAAAATCCAGCCTTGGGGTCAGCCCTGGTACAAGTTGCTGCAATTCCCAGCAAAAGTTTCTAGGTAAAACTCAATAGTGATATAAATAATAGTAGATTTTGTACATCAGCCCTTGGTTATTCAGCTGACCACAAATACCAAGTTGGAAGATAAATGCTGCCACATTTATCATCATCACATTTACAGGGCAGCTTTACCTCACTATCTCCTCCTTTGCTTGGTTGGAATAAAACATGTTATTTTAATTGTGAAGTCTTTTTGTTTCTTTGTCTTAGATACCATAAGTACCTCATGACAGCATATATAAATGTTTCAGGGGTTTAGGTTGTAGCCGTGTTGGTCTAAGCATATAGGCAGACAAGGTTCCTTGGGTGAATTTGATATCTTTTATTAGACCAACCCACATGGTTGGAGAATAGTTATTAAGCAAGCTTTCGGGTTCAAAAACCCTTCGTCAGGCTAAGGAAGCTTCAGCAGTTGGTGTGTGCTCTTCCTGGATGGACTGAAAAGTAAAGAAGCCAGAGGCTGGGCTGGGGAGTCAGTTGCCAGGCAGATTGTAATGTATCAAAAATCCAATGTCTATGTTTAGTCCCTGATCTCTAGTATCCAGCAGGTTGATGAAATGGAGCTCATTTTAAGATCTTTAAAGACTCTTCTCAGTCTTCCATTTTTACATGCAGTCCCCATTGTTCCTTAAATTTTTGGAGGTATATTTCTTGGTCCTCTGAGGGCTCATCAGATACCTGCCTCTCATACAGTCTGGACAAAAGCCCCTCTTTTGCTGGATCATCACACTTTTCATGTTCAAATATTTCTTCACAAGCATCACTTTCAAAATTGGACAAACTAGATATATACAGTTTTCCAGTATGAGGATCCCAGTCTACTAATATAGTCTGTTCATCTTCCTTTTTTACATCCTCTATCACCATTGGGTCCTGGGGGCCCTGGCTTATTGTACTTAAGTGAGGAAATGGTAATTGTCCTGATTTTTCAGTGCCCAAGTTTAGCAGCTCAGTTGCTGTCTCAGGGGATAGCTCCTCTGGTGTATTACATTTGAGTTCTTTTAATATCTGCACTGAACAAGTGTCTGTAGTCCTTTCATTAAGTTGGGGACAGTATGGCAGTTTTATTTTATCAAGGTCCAAGTCATCCAATGTAATCTGGGGCTTATTTAGCAGTTCCCCTAGTGCAGAAGATTTCACTTTCACACTGAGATCCTCCAGTTTCTGCATAGAAAAGAGGTCAGCAGGCCTCACATCACATTCATATTCTATGACCTCTTCATTTCTTTGACCCAAAGTACAGTGGTTGCCAACTTGGCCTTGGCATGGCCAGTTCCCATCTTGGTCACAGTTGGGTAAAATTTTTACTCCTTCAGAAGAATCAACCAAGTGTTTCAAGAGCAACCCTTCCTTTGGAGGTTTATTATCATGTCTGTTTTCATCCTGGATGTTATAGTATTTGCAGCTGCTCCTGCCCATTAAGTTAATGGTTTCCTGAGAAGCCTTGTTCTCATCCACAATATTAATGGTGATGAAGTTGACCACCATTTTTTCAGTTGGTACAAAAACATTTTCATCACATTTATTAGTGTACTTCAATACCTGGAAAGGAAAGACATTTGATTTAAAAGAAATGTAATTAAGATATTATCTAACTGCAACTTGCACTGCATCTATTTTTAAAATGTATGATTAGTTTTATTATATTGTTAGAAGCTGGGTCTTCATTTTGGGTTCCAGATAATGAAAGTAGTTCTCTGTACCTTCAATTCCCACTTTCTTCACATATTTTTCTATTCTAGCAGGAGCAGGCCCATGTAAGCTGCTACATTTTTCCTTCAACAACACCCCAAGACCAATCATTAGTTAGAGCAGGTGAGCTAAAATTTGCTTTTGGTTATTCCATGGTACACTGGGGTGACTTCTTGGAAGTTAACAGAGTAATCCTGCTATAACTGGCCACGTCTATGTAGGTGTTTAACTGTGGAGTAGACTAATTATCAGAGATCTGGCTTTTTCTGTTTGCCATGTAAAAACGTGGTAAAACTCAGATTTTCTCATTTTAAGGAGAAAAACTCAGAATCCTTCCTTTAAAGGAGAGAAACACAGAAAATGGTGGATTCCCCCTTGCAGGCTGGCAGAGTGCCAGCCTGCAAGGTGCTGGGGGGAACGGGAGAAGGGCGGTCAGGCGGGGGGTGCTGCACATGGCTGCGGGGCAGCCTGGAGAGCAGCTCCCGCACATAAGTCTGGTGTGGGGGGGAGGGAAAGGAGGCCCCTCTCATGAGGGAGGGAGTTAAGTAGGGTTGGGGTTGCTGCCCAGCTGGGTTGGCGTGCGGGGCTTGGGGCCAGAGTGTGTGGCTGCATGGCCTGGTTTGGGAATGAGACAGAGACACAGGTGACTTGTCTGGGGGATGATGAGGAGGCTGGCTCCCTGCTGCTGTGCACACTCCTGGGGGAGGGAGGGGGAGAAATCAGAGCACATGCTCTGATGGGAGCAGCTCTGATTTTCCATGATAAAACCCCCCAAATCAAAGGCCAAAATGTCTAGGCATTTAGTATTTATTTTATTATAGTGATTGAGGCACTGGTAGGCTTCCTAATTGCTTTATAATTGTAAATATATCAATAAAACATTAAGTGATACCTATATATTAGTGGTGTTTCATTTTAATCCTGGAAAAATGCAGATTTTGGGGTTTCAATAAGAGAACTACTTAATTTTTCTCAGAGACTTTGAAATTTTTAAACAGAGAAAACCAGGACCCCTCATAACTAGTTGAGGAGTAAAGAGTCACTGACTACACGTGAAATGGTATTAGGCCACAGTAAACTAATTAATGCTGCAGTAAGATAGTACTGTCAGGGAATTCCATCTGCTGGAATTAAACACATGCATAGATGCTGACCATGGGCATAAATTGTGCCTGGACAGCCCAGCCAGCTTAGCCACAAGGCAATGCACTTTTAGCATCCTCATGCCCTGGCCAGCCCCTCTGCTGCCTGATGCCACCGCCTGGAGCCCCAGGCTGAGTGGCCCTGATATAAACTGCACCACCCTGGTTCAAATTGCTGTTGTATAGATGCTGCTCCTGGGAGTAGTTTACTCCACCTCAAACCGCTCTGAAGTTTATTGCTTTGAATTAATAGCATGTGTAGACGGACCCAATAACTACTGTACAGAATCTGGTCGAGACTATTAAACCAATGGAAAAAGGAACTGTAACTTGAACTCAGACTCTTCTCCTCCCTGCCCCCCAACCAATCCCAGGGCAGAATCATTTAGAAAACTACCATTTTAAGGTGAAGTTCATGCAGACTTTAGTAATATCAGAGGAAGTTGTGGGTAAGTAGATAAAATATACAACAGACTGTCTACGGTACGGATTCTACAATTAGCTCTACTGCAGACTGTGTTGCTGACCCTGAGACTAACCACTTTGCCTCTATGTACTTTCAGTTTTACACTTGTAAAATAGAGATCATAACAGTTATTTACTCTGAAGAGAAGTTATTTGAGGCTCAATTTGCCCAGCAGTGCTTGAAAATGGATACAAAGTTTTCTGATGGGTGGTGCTATAGAAGTATTATTTATACAATATCTGCACTTAAAGTTGAGAGCTATTTCCTGTTTTACCAGCACATTTAAAGAATCTCTCTTAAATGTCTTCCAGAATGGAGTCACCTTTATAAGCACAGCCTCTGTAAATTCTGTGCAATGAGAGAGGAAGAAAAAGGCAAAGCTGGGAGCTGACTTGTTGTTGACATAAATTTGTAGCATTTTGATGATCATTTTAGCATAGTTTTTTTCCAGAAGTTGTCAATAATTTTTTCCAATTCCAACCTAAGACATCTTGGTTATTCCACTTCCCAGTGCCCACAGACTGCCAGTCATCTTGTAGACATGGGGAAATTAGACACATTTTCATCTGTTGTCTAAGCAAGGACATGAATCAAAAGATGGACATGAAATTGCAGCTTTTACAATGGAAATGAAAAAAATTAACAGTCCTAATGAAATAAGGAAGATAGATAAAATTAATAGAAGTAATAATACAACAGACTGGATGTGCTGGGTGGCAGATGGGGCACAATGGATAAGAAGATGAATCTTTTACAGGGTAATCTAGTGACAGGGGGAGGGACTGGAATAGCTGTATTCCAAAGGCAGCACAGTAGCTGCTGTCCACCTCCTTCTGCATCTTCTAGAGGAATGAATCTCCATGAATTCCTGTGAGACGCTGTATGCTCCACCACCACACCTGCCACAGGCTGGCATTTTTTAAGAGAACCAGCCAATGCCTCCAAACACTTCACAAAATTCCCTGTTGTGCAGAGTGGGCTAATGTCACAATCAAGTCTAAAGTATTTATTTATATTTTTATGATGGCACAAATGTGTTTGAGCAACCAGCTAGAGAAGTTTTTGGATAGTTTGTTTTTAATCACTTATAAAGCAAAAATGACACCTCACCCTTCTCTGATTCTTTTAAAAGTTTATCTTGAAAAAACAAACTAAAATCAGGAAGACAAATGTATAACTATTTCTACTTTGAAATCATCTTTGAACAGTATGGCACACTTTGGTAGAATAATATTGCACAGTATTCAAAAATCTACAAGAATCCAAAACTGAATAATCTGCCCAGCTCAGATATATGATATCCTTCAGAGACATCATTAAAAAGCAAAGTAGACTTGTACCTCATAAAAGGCCACCAGAACTTCAATATCCATTTTGGTTGAGAGATTTTGCATCACTTAATTATCTCTCCTTTTAGTGATGGATGAATTCAATTAACAATTTTCACTCACTGAATCCTCTCCAATGCTTCTTCATGGGTAAATGTAGAAAGAACGAGCCAACTTCTTAATGCCATTTGCCTCAGTGCACCTGAGACCCTGCTTATGGCAACGCCCCTTTCCAAGACTAAGGAAATTATTTCATTTTGATGTTTATTCTTTTTGGGTATAATTTTAGGGAAGAATACCAGATAGTCATGCTTAAGAGGTGCAGCTGTTGATCTTAGTCTTCTGTATTTGCCATTTTTAATATTCCTTGTGTGATGTTCTTTTCTTGCTTTAAGTGGGATTTTATCTTGAAATACAAAACCTGCAGGCAGGCTACAATGTGCCCCCCACCCCCTGTTCCCTCCTTCCAGGGTTGTAGTAGATTAGCATGGTTCTGATGAACTGCATTGTAAAATGGCAGGAGTAGGACTCCAGTAAGAAATGAAAAGTGCTTACCAGGTTTGCTGGGTGCTTTTGTTTGCTGACATGAATATACCTGTGTACAACATAGTATGTCATTGAGAGAATGAAGGCTGTCAGAATGATGGGCAGGATATATCCAAATACGACTGTTATGGCATGTTCTGCATTTGGGTCTGTTAATAAAACAACAGATTGCATTATGTAGCTTATTTATAAATCTCTTCATTAGTCACAGGTACCCACTGCATTTGCTGTTCGACTGTGCAATCTGAATGTGCTGGATCTAAGATTCCTAGCATTTGCTGGGGATTAAAAAGGTGACATTCTATAGTCCATCAAGAGATTTAAAAAAACAAACTAAAAAAACCCCTCAAAAACCCCACAGAGCCACTAGGACTCTACTGAGATTTTTGTGCAGCTAGGGGTGCCCAGGGGAAGCAGCCTACAGTCATTTCAGGTGAGCCTCAGTCAGTAGGGCGAGGGCTATTCTGCAGGCAGGGGAAAAACATTTGGGGATTTTCATTAGCTGCAAAATGGATTAAAATCCTGTGGGTGAGAAAAAGAGGAAGAGATTATTTTAGTTTTCCAGTCCAAAAAAAAGTGTTCCTTTCTTTTGGCATCCTAAGAAATTATTTGCTGGTACCCTGTCCTAGAGATGTCCTTGTTTGATCCAGGCGTAACAGTTTCAAACTTAAACCTAAATTCCGTTCTCTGAATATTATGCTGAATGGTACATACCTTTCAGAGTTGCAATGCAACTTTCTTCTGAAAATCCACTAAACAAATGAGGTATTCGAACGTAAGTCTGCACGCTGATGCAGTAAACTGTATTGGATTCTAACCTGGGCACAATCAACGTGTTGCTCTTAATGGAAAACCACCACTAAAAGAAAGAAAATGATATTTTCCATTTAGCTCTTAAATTGACAAGGGATTTCATATTTCATAACTTTTATATCAAAAGAGATAAAAACTAGCTATCTTGGCGGGAGAGACATTCTAACCATTACCACAAGCTGCTTCAAAAAATGTAAATTATTTCCATTTTTCTGAATGTAACCGAAAACAGCATTTGTTACTAGATCAAATCCTCTATTGATATTTTCTCCTCTCTTCAAGATGGTATACCAGAACAGTAGTATTAGTAATAGTTTATTTACAGCTTTTGCCAAAACAATACAGTAATATGAATAAAAATTAAATGCAATAAAATAATAACATTTATTAATATATAATTTTTGCTAAAAACATACAGTAAGATAATCCATTCTACCAGTTTACACAAAATTAAAACAGAACACAGTGCCTGATAAAATGAATGAGTGCACAACAAAACAGGAAACCGCTATCTGATTTTGGCCCTTATTTTTTGAGCAATGGTATTAGGCCACAGTAAACTAATTAATGCCACAGTAAAATAGACAGGACTATTTTATGCCCGAGTGATTTACTGCAATTAAACCTACACATAGTTGCTGACCATAGACAGCCCAGCCAGATTGTGCCTGGACAGCACAGCCAGCTTAGCCACAAGGCAATGCACTTCCAGCATCCTCATGGCCTGGCCAGCCCCCCTGCTGCCTGATGCCACCACCTGGAGCCCCAGGCTGTGGCGCCCTGGTATAAACTGCACCACCCTGGTTCAAATTGCTGTTGTATAGATGCTGCTCCTGGGAGTAGTTTACTCCACCTCAAACTGCTCTGAAGTTTATTGCTTTGAATTAATAGCATGTGTAGACGGACCCAATAACTACTGTACAGAATCTGGTCGAGACTATTAAACCAATGGAAAAAGGAACTGTAACTTGAACTCAGACTCTTCTCCTTCCTGACCCCGCAACCAATCCCAGGGCAGAATCATTTAGAAAACTACCATTTTAAGGTGAAGTTCATGCAGACTTCAGTAATATCAGAGGAAGTTGTGGGTAAGTAGATAAAATATACAACAGACTGTCTACAGTACGGATTCTACAATTAGCTCTACTGCAGACTGTGTTGCTGACCCTGAGACTAACCACTTTGCCTCTATCTACATTCATTTTTACACTTGTAAAATAGATCATAGCAGTTATCTACTCTGAAGAGTATTTATTTGAGTCTCAATTAGCCCAGCAGTGTTTGAAAATGGATACAAACATGATTTGGCCCTTATTGTTTTGAGCAAGTAAGGAAAATTAACCTAAGGAGTAAAGAACAAGCTCCAAAGTGTTAGAAGCCAGTTTGAGAAGCCAGTTTGTTTATTTCTTCTTTAATGCAGTATTTAAAGTTTCCTATTAATAGTGAGATCCATTTTTTTCTTATTTCTTCAAATAACAAACAAGACCACGAACAGTGATTTAAGTCATCTATCTTCTTCCCACAAGAATATATTCTGTCTGACACCATCTGCCCATGACAACTGTGGATCTTGTTGGAATAAATCTCAATCTTGTGAGAGACTGATCTTTCATTGTTTGTAGTTTTGCACCACAAGAAGGCTGCTAGGCCAAATGGCTATGTCCAGATGAGCATGGCCATGTGGCCACACACTGCTCATTCAGATGTTTCCTTGCACTCCTACCTTGCAGCATGGAGCAGTTTTTTGACCACAGGAGATCCCGGGGTCAAAAAAACCTGTGCAGAAAAAAAGTGGGGCAGTGCATGTGGTGGCAGTGCGTGCTGCCCAAAACTGGAATGCTCCAGCTGCTGGATAGGCTCCCCGCTGCAGGAGTCCTGTAGCTGCAGCTCCCCAAGGCCTCCAACACTCCAGGTAAGGCTGCTGGGGCCAGCATAGTTGCTGGCCCCAGCCTCTCCTACCCCATCCAGGCTGCTGCATGCCGGAGAGCACATAGATAGCATGGGTATTCCTAGGGAAACAAACATCCATGCTCATGTAGATGCAGCCAATGAATACTTTAGCAATCTTAAAAAAATGCTAAATTCAAGACAGTCTCACTGCTGGTATATCTGTCTGCATGATGGCATCTTTAATTTTTAAATTGATATCTTGTTTATATAGGGAAAATATTGGGTCAGTGACTCTCAATACATTTCCCAGGCCATTGTCTGAAGGAGAATATAGATGTTATTTAACCATAATACCAGGGTTTCTTTGGCAAAAGAAAGGCTGCTAGAATACACTTCTTAGGGTATCTCATAGATGTAAAAGATCTAATTTTCAAAGAATAGTTGAAATTTCTTAAATGAGCTAAAGCGCTCACATTTATCAATCCAGTTTCAGAGCTGGATATAAGGCTTTCCACATCTCCCCTTACCACCTGTAGAATTAGGCAGAGATAAAAGCTGCCTTAAAAAGTAGTTTGAAATCTTTTCAGTTTTGGGGTGGACTATAGGGTCAGCACCCCACGATTCTGCTCCATACAGATACCTTGGATCTATAGACCTTTAGTCTTCCAGAACTGCTTTTCTGCCATTCTTATTGTAAGAAGGTAAAACTCCTCCTAAAGCTCGTTTTGCTCCACTATTTATATTTTCAGTGTGCTTATTCCAGCTCAGATTTTTGTTCAAATAGATTCAGAGGTTTTTAAAAGAAGACACCACCTCTAGCTTTTTTTCTATAAAAAACAAACTTGTTTCCCACTTTCATTCCCCAAAACCAATAACTTAGTGCAATAGTGCTGAAAAAGCACTTAATAACTTTTGGCGGTCTATTTGTGATTATGACATTATTAACACATCACTGGCATCAAGCAGGACAGGGTTAGAATAATTCAAAATCATGGGTGCATAGAACTGATTCTCTATTAGTGTTTGGTTTTAGATTGTTCAACAGTAGCAAAGCAAGAAACATCCTTGTCATATCCCTCTCTTAGTTGGGAAGCTATTGGATAGGACGCTGCCAACCTTGTAGCACACCCTAGATTAGGGATGGGCCAAATGACAGATCTGGCTGGTGGCCAGACTCCATTTCCCAGCAGCCCCAGCCCGCGTCCCTGTGGCTGGTTTCCATAGAGGCCCCCGGAAGGGCAGCACTGTGACAGCGCAGGGCCAAGTTTTCTCATGGAGGCCGGTCCTAGCAACACTAGTAGGGCATGCGGCTGAGCGGGGAGCTGCTTTGGGGCTGGGGCTGGGATCCTGCAGTGGTGACAACATGGTCCAGAGCCAAGGCAGAGCCACAATCCACTGCCTGCATGCTCTTGCCCAGGACGTGCAGGCAGCAGATCGCAGCTCTGCCCCAGCTCCAGACCATGGTGTCACCACTGCAAGATCCCAGCCCCAGAGCAGCTCCCTGCCCAGCCGGTGCTGCTAGCATGGAAAACCTGGCCCCATGCTGTCAAGGCACTGCTGGCCCTGGGGTCTCTATGGAAACCAGCCACAGTGATGTGGACAGAGGCTGCTGGGAAATGGAGTCCATTGCAGGCCCAATCCAGCCACACTTTACCCACCCCTGCCCTAGATGTTGTATTTGAATCATAAGTAATGATTAATTGCAAGAGAGCTTTATGCATTAATGTTATTTCCAGTTTCTTCCATAATTTTAATCTGTCTATAGAGTCAAAAGCTCTCTTGAGATCTATGAAGGCTACATACAAATGATTATGTCTTTTTACTATTCATTATTTCTAAATAATGCAACACTGAGCAATAGTTTGTGCATGAATAGCTTCCTCTAAAACCAGCCTGCTCCAGTCCCAAAATATTATTTTTAGAAATCCAGGTCTAAAGATGGAAAAGTAAATGTCCCCCCCAAGTATTATGGCAGGAATACATTTGGCAGTACTGACCTACTAATACGTCAATATTGATGAAGGATCTCTCATCAACATTTTAAAATTGGGACTATTATATTTTCATTCCAATGCTTTCTAAAATAATTATATTAACAATTTTGGTCAAAACTGGACACTACCAGTCAATACATTCCTTGAAGATTATTGGGGAAAGAAAAATCAAGGCCTTTCCATTTCTCAATAAGTATATAAATTAGATTGAGGTGAGATAATGATTTGCTTTAGCTTAACAGATAAAATTTCCTTCAGCAAGAAGCCACCAATTTCCTTCACCGTCTATGAGTAAGTTGTGAAACTTCTTTTTTTTTTAAATGAGACCCATATACCTTCAGGAAGGTATGTGCCAGAATTAAGCTAAATTTTTTTTGTCCCTTTGACTATAATTTTAAAAAATGTTTGTTATCATTATTTTTTCCTGTCGCTACCAGTTTCTCCCATAGCCTCATTTGATATTGTTTCACCTTTCTGTCTACTAGTACACAACAATACTATTGACTAGTTCCCATTATGAAAAGGGAAGAACCTGGGACATTACTAGCACTTATGCTCAGAAGGACATTGTGAGACACAAACAGCACCACCCTGGCCTTCCTCTAGAGCAGTGGTTTTCAACCTGTTTTGTACCAGGACCCATTTGTAAAGATCAATGGCCAGTCCTGACCCACAGTCCCCTGGCCCTGCCAGTGCCTCTCACTCCTGACCCATAGCCCCTTGGCCTTGCTGGTGCCCCTCACTCCCAAGACACTGACCCCCTGGCCCTGTCAGTGCCCTCGCTCCTGATCCACAGTTCCCTGCTCTCCCGGGTCATGCTGGTGTCCCTCACTCCCAACCTGAAGCCCCCTGCCTCCTCCCAGTCCTGCTGGAAGGTGCCCCAGTTGCCCCCATCCCACTTGGGCCAGAGCATGGTGTCTGCAGCAGCTCTGGCTCATGCGGGAGGTAGCAGAGCAAGTCTGGCCCCAGCACAGGCTGGAGGGAGAAGGCGGAGAGGCCTGTGGCACTCTACCCTGCCCTGGGCTGGGGCTCAGGCACTGTGCCAGGCAGCCTGGTCACAGCTCCTCCTGTCCCCCAAGCAGCGTTTCCCAGTTGCCCTGCCCCTCCGAGTATGGGCACTGGTGACGCTGGCCTAGCCATGCAGCTCCCTGCTGCCCCGAAGGATTCCCCAGAGCCAACTTCCCCTACTGGAGAGGCAGGCACCTTTCCCCTCTCTACCCCTGCCCCGATGCAGCCTCAGTGCCCAGTCACCTTCCTCCAGTGCTGGCAGTGTAGTGCGCAGGTTTGTTATTACCCTGAAATAGAATAGTTTTCTGATAAGCATACTGTTAGGTTTACAATAATTTAGATTATTAAGAAGTATTAGCTTTACAGCTGAATACAAGGCATGACCTGTGGCCTAGCAATGCAGCTGACCACAAGGCAGATTGATAGCTAAGCCTTTGCTTGTGTCAAGTAACCATTTTAACTGTATTAAGCATTTTCTGAGTTAAAAGCAGCAAGTATCTCTGTGTCTGTGCGCTAAAAAATCAGCTACAGCAAAAAATAAGATAAGACAGGGAAACCATTGTTCTGGGTGCACTGGTTGTGTCCTTGAGAAGTATCTACTACTGTGTAAGGTTTTGCTAACATATTATAATGTTACTGTTACTTAACTGGGGGGGGGGGCATTTTGCCTTTTGCTGGCTTTATGGTCTTTGCTCGAGCAAATAAACAGCTGTCTTTCTTTACCCGCGTTGTCTGTCAATCAAATTACGGCTAGACAACGAACCTTAGGGAGGTTTCTCTCACCACAGCTGGCACTTGCCTCCCCCCTCCCCCCCTTACACCCATCCCCACACAATTCCCAAGCCCTGGACCTCCAATTCCCACTCCCCATACACTTACCTGCATCCAAGCTGCTGGGGCTGCTCCCATAACCCTGCCTGGCTGCATGCTGCCCACATGCATGTGCACATGCAGATGCATGTGGGCCCACTGCTTCCAAATCGCTGCAAGCAGCTCCTTGCAGGCTGGAAGGCTGACAGCTTGCAAGGGGAAACCTGTGGTTTTCTGCATTTTTCTGGGACTTGCTCATGACCCTTTCAAATATTCTTGCGACCCACTTCTGGGTTATGACCAATGGGTGGAGAAACACTGTTCTAGAGGCTAGGCTAACAAGATCCAATAGAGCTGTGATTACCATATTTTCTTGCATACAACATGTACCAGAATTAAATAAGCATCTTATTTTTGAAAGGTAGAATGATGTAAAAATGATCTTTTCTTATAGTAAGTAACTGAGAAAGCTGGGCCTGCTCATTGGTCTGCTCTCTGTGAGTTTCATGCAGATTTTATTTTTACTTTTACCAGTAACTGGCAGAAACTGTTTTTACTGTATTTCTTACATATAATGCATACTACCATTTTTAGGATTGGCTTTTTGTGATAAAGTCTGTATTGTATGTGGAAAAATATGGTAATTTCTATTTTTAGATGATGTATTG